CCACAGGAACACGCAACAATAAGCACACCTGTTTCATATGATAAAACAAACTACCATAAAACTTGGTCTATATTTATCTTTGGCTCTGATGGACTCATGGAAAGGTAGTGGAAGGGGTGAAGGCTAAAGAGCGCTGGGTCAAGGCTAAGATAAGTTACCTGCATTTTTAATGGTGCTGACTTGGTTTAATTAGAAAAAAATACTGTGATGGCTTTTTAATGAGGAGGAAGAGGAGGTACATGGGCAGGCTGAGTGATCTGTTTTATTGGAAAAAAGAACTTTACATGAGAGTGAATCCCTCTTTTACCAACTCGGATCAGTTTTCATACAGCTCCTCCGGTAAACAAGCTGCAACAACAGTTTTGCTGCCAAGTGCAGATTAATCATGTATCTCCTCTCACATTAAGAGAGCCTAAACAGAACACAAAGGTTCTGGTTTTAATACCAGCGGGCTCTTTTATGGCAACAAAATGGGTTTCAGCAGCTGATAATGAATGCCAGAAGATGCATCTCTTTTGTCATCCGCTGCCTTCTTTAGTCATCCTTACATCTTCGACAGCTTGGCTGAAGCAGCTGGGCAGAAACATTTCATAATAAGTAACTCCCATTTGCATCCGGGCCAGGCAGCGGGGTAGTTAGCCTCCATCAGGACAGAGCAGAGACTTTGACATGAGAGGGAAAACATCTCTATTATTTCTCTCAGCAAGCATGGCGCTTTGCGAGTGTTTGGCCGGAGCACTCAATCGTGGTACTACCTCGTATGGAGTCTGCATCAAGGCATCTACTAAAAGCTGCTTGTCCGAGAGAGATTTGCCGTATTTATTCATGTATAATACGATCTCATGTATAATGCTACCCCCACTTTTTGAGCTTAAAAAGCATTAAAAATTTAATCCTCAAACTACCTCTAATTTCATACAGAATTCAAGATTTTTCAGCCTTTGCAGTCTTTATACATGTCAGTAAAATGATCATTGGTATCAAGGTATTTTGACAACAAATATATATCAGCTGTAGCAGCATCATATGAATTCTGGCATTTTACACAAAGTCCATCGGGATGCGCCAACACAAAAGTCAGACTTCACGAGATTTGGACCATCTTCTGAGGGAAAAGCAGATTACTTCCTATTCGCGAGCGCCCCCTCTGGTGGGGAAACTTTATTCAGGGATACAAACTTTTTCAGAACACCGGTAGACGGCAGCCATTACAGACGAACATGGTTTGTTGTTCCAGGAGCGGCCCGGTCACACGCTAATGCCATTAGTTCGCTTTCATTTCTAAGGTGCAGGAATAATTTTTACCCCTTTTTTTTCACATCATGTCACCTGCCTGGATCTGTTATTATCTCGCTCTGAAGCACGAAGGAGTGACAGAGGTAAGCTCCTTTCAACAGCTTTTTACGACGCGGTCTCATTTCCGGACTCAGGCGTTTTGTGAATTAAGCTGATATTTCAGTTAAAATACATAAGTAAAAATATTTATCCGAGTATAGTACCACCCCCCAACTTTATGGATGATTTTATTGATTTAATTTTACGTTTTATACTTGAATAAATACGGTATATGCCGTCAATCACTGATCAATGAGAATTTGCAATGTGAGCTCTGCAGCAAAAAACAAACAAACAAACAAAAAATAAACAGACTTGGCCTGTTCTCAGCTCAACGCAGCAGCCCATTATCTCTGCAGACACACAGGTTATCTCCTCTGAGACAGATCTGTGACACTCCTGACAGACCCATCTATTCTGAGGGCAGGAGGTGGGTTTGATGGTGATGCAGTGAGGCAGAAGGACCCCTAAAACTTAAGTGAAACAAAATAGAATATATGTGTGTGTGTGTGTGTGTGTGTGTGTGTGTGTGTGTGTGTGTGTGTGTGTGTGTGTGTGTGTGTGTGTG